CTTGTACATTTATATTATAAAGTTTGAAAATTTTAAGAAAATACTGTGAGAAAAGTACTAAAATCGACGTTTCATGAATATCTAAAGTTCTATTTCTATTAACACCCTCTAAATACTTTTATCAGTTTGAGACATAAAACAATGAAAACTTTGAAACTTACTCTTCAGGAACTTACTTAGAGTAACTTACCCAAAGACCTAAAATCTTAACAACGTCACGTTACAAAATGGAGTAAAAGAACTGATAAATCTAGTTTAAATGCTCGTGACAAGAAAATCTGCCAACCAAAGTTACTCGAAATCCGCTGAAAATGTCAGCTGCCCCGTCAAGGGAGAACGAAGATGTGATAAGGTTCAAGATATTGAGTTCCTTATAGAGGATCATAGTGATTGGAAGCAGACAGAGGTTGAGACCAATATTCAAGTCAAAAGGGATGAATAAAATATATTGCAATATTATGGTTGACTATAAAACACAGAAAGCCAAACTAGCCCAAATTGTAACAAAATAATCTCCAGTATTAATCAGATATTTTTCTAAGATTGTTAAACATTATATTCTTTGAATTTATAATCTTTAGTTTTTAAAATTCCCGTTTTAATGTCATTAGTAATAATATCTTGCTCTGAAAACTTTAAATCCTAAATTTATTTTTGACTTTGAAAGTACATACAATGCTATTTCAGAGAGAACCTAATTTGGTAAAGGAATTGAGTCTTTACCACAAATTCTGATTGTCTAATCTCTATATCTTTACTACACAATGTCGTGGACCTTAGATATTTCAAACTATGAATACGGTTAGATTAAATAATCTAAGTTTGAAATATCAGAGGTTTACACCATCAAGTTGCAATGATATAGGGATTAGACAAGTTGAGTTTGTGGCAAAGACTCAATTTCTTTCATTTCATTGAAATTTTACTGAAAATATTTTTTTACAAATAAATACAAATTATAATTAATTTCTTCTTTGGAGAAAAGAAAACATTTACATTTGAGAGAAAAAAGGAAGTTTTCTGGATTTGATTTTCTTTATTTTGGTCTAATTTTTATATTAGAAGTGACTTTGACAGGAGCTTTCCTAGATTTAAAATAAAATAATTGTCCAGAGAGCTGGGCATGCTTTTTCAATAAATTGGTCCATTTTGTTCCCTTTCATAAATTCTTAAGTTTAAAAAAACTTTTCTTATTCTAGTTCTGGTTCGGTTAGGCTTAAAAACTAAAAAAATTCTCTATTTCTTTGCTATTCCTGCTATTCCAAAGTTGCCTGTGGAATTTTAAAAATTTAAAGGAAAAAAAATAATTTTAAAAAATCTATTAAAAAATATTTGTAACCCCTGGGATACCCATGGGTTTCCTCTAAAAATGTCAACCGATTTGGTTCTGCAGTTTTGCCAGCTATAGCTGACATATATGTATATAAATATATATATGAGCAAAGAGCTTTATTATATAGATGATGCATAATCAATTCTTAAAACGAAAAAATTCCTTATTTTCTTTCTTTTTACTTTTATAGCTCACTGAGAAAAAGACACAAAATCATAACTCAATTATGTTTGAAAATCCAGCTTTCTACAAGTCATCAATGCTACATGCGATTAACAAAAATCATTATCATTTAACCAAACCTAATAGTTAAGCTTAAGAAAAAACAGGAAGCAAGATCAGCCCGCGTAAAATAAATGTTCACTATGGTTTATAAGGTGACCCATGGTCAAGTTTTTAAGACAACGGCGCAACACAAAACGTGATTTTTAATCGAAAACAAAATATAGAAAGACCTTGATAAAATACTGGAAATAAATTTATTGATTTATTGTTTTATTTGTATGCGTGAACTTGTGCCCACACCCCTTAACCAAATAATTATTATTAAAGTTAAAAATATAGATGATGCATTTTCTAAAGTTTTTAATCCAAAACTAAGGGAAAACTTTTCAAAAAATATTTTCTTGTATTTTTTAACAATTATTAAGATAAAAACAGGTTTTATAAAATTTTGAAATTTATCATTCAAAAGTCAAGTTTTTTAATTGGATACATTGTTGAAAAATGCTTTTAGACATTTTGAAGTTTTTACAAGTTAATTAAGTTTAAAAAGTTTCACAAGTTTTACGTATTTTCAAGTTTTACATGTTTTAAAGATTGTCTGATTAATCCAGTTCTTTACTTTAGGTTATTTTACTTCTTTGCAGCTCTCAAAGCTATCCAGTTTCTCTAGTTCTTAGTCAATTATTTCTGAGTCTTCTGGAAGTTTTACAAAGTTTTTTATATCACCCAGGCGTCACAAATTTTGAAAATTCCCATAAACAGTTTTTGCCATATCTTATACTTACAGATCTGCTGGACTACAAAGTTTACACTTGAGTTTTTTCTTGAAGGTTTTAAGATTTAAAAGTTTGGACCCCAGTTTCTCATGGTTTTGAAGAAATGAACTGAGTTATTGCCACAAACTTAAATTTTCTATTTATTTGCAACCTGATAGTTTAAATCTTTATATTTCAAACTTACGACTATATTTTCTTACAGAATTTAATTATGAAATTTGGTTGCAAAGATATATGGAATATAAAATCAGAGTTTGTGGTAAGAACTCTGTTCTTTTCAAGAGTGAATTGATCACGGCTTGGAAAATATTTGGAAAAAAAACTTAAAAATCAATACTATACTTGTAAATATATAATTTTTTTAAAATGTATTTTTATTTTGAACTACTTTTCCTATGAACAATATCCTTTTTGAAAAATTAATGGTTTTCACTTAATATATCTTAAGAACATTGCGAACAATCCAACAAACTAATTGAGTTTTGAGAAGAAAAAAATTACATTATCCTTTCCTACAAGTGAAAAATGTCTAAAATAACAGCACAAAATTAATTAAGTGATTTAACATATTAAATCTTGACTTTTTTCATGAAATTAAGCTTTAAACATATAATCTAATTAGATTGGACCCAAGCAATAAAACGATTAAAACATGTAGCAATCTATAGTGCATATTATTAAAAAGATTAATAACTCAATGGTTGAGTGTAATTCCAATGTTTGCAGAAAGCAAGGCCTGGTTGACGTATATGTACTACCACATTATTCCAATAATTTACCAATCAGTTAAATACAACTCTAGTTAGAACTTATTACAGGGGGTAAATATTTATTTATAAATCTACCCCCCCCCCTCTTAGAATTAAATATATATAAGGTTTCTTTGAAAGCTTAAAATCCATGGGCGAACTCTTTTAAATATTTGTTTTAAAATTTTTTAAATCCTTGTATTTTTATCCCTTTTAAAGTTTTCTCTTACAAAACCAATTTTTTTTTATTCCTTTCAGTTAAAAACCAGTTTTGGTGTTTGAATCTAGTAATAAATTATTAAAAAATTTTAATTAAAAATGTCATATAACGTAAAGAAAACCTTGATCAGGTTAAATTTTGCTTTAAATATTTGTTAAAAATAAAAGTAAATAAAAAGGAAAGTTTTAATATATAAATTTCAACAACTCAATTTTTAAAAATTATTTAATATATTTGACGTCATGGTTCAGTGGACAACTGTTTACATATGAACCCTTGAATGGCGACACCTTTGCAATCAGGCAACAATCCTACACAATCCTACACAATCCTACACAATCCTACACAATCCTACACAATCCTACACAATCCTACACAACCCTACACAATCCTACACAATCCTACATAATCCTACACAATCCTGCACAATCCTACGCAATCCTACGCAATCCTGCACAATCCTGCACAATCCTGCACAATCCTGCACAATCCTGCACAATCCTTCACAATCCTGCACAATCCTGCACAATAATCCTACATAATCCTGCACAATCCTACACAATCCTGCACAATCCTGCACAATCCTGCACAATCCTGCACAATCCTGCACAATCCTTCACAATCCTGCACAATCCTGCACAATCCTACATAATCCTGCACAATCCTGCACAATCCTTTACAATCTTGCACAATCCTGCACAATCCTGCACAATCGGATTGTACAACAAATTTTCATTCAACCCTTGAGTTTCCTGGATTTGAAAAATGTGCTATTTAAACCCACACCTAAAACTTTTAACTTGAAGTATGCCTCTGACTGTCTACAGCTACAAGCTCAAATACTTGAAGTATTATTGTTCTGCATAACTATATAATGTATATACTTATATAAGACAGATTTTTTTCCCTTATGCACTTTGTCATTTTAAAAGCACTGGTCATTTTATATTTACCTTTTTAGTTTAGCATTTGGGTATTTTTTTATTGTGTTGTGCAGTGGTTAGAATACTGGATTATAGTCTTCATTTCTCCTCACATATACTTTATATTCTTCACTTTACACCAAACTTAAGTAAGATTTTAATACCAGTATCAAATATACAGGGGTATTCAACAAATAGGAAATTAGAAACTCTGGGCTATCAGGATAATAAAGATTTTCTAAATTTTTAAAATATTTTGTTATGAAGATGATATTGTTTTTAAGTAAAAAAATATAGTCATTAAACTTCGAAAGGGCTCTGAATTATATTTATACAAAATAAAGACATTGTATTTAAACACGCAATGCCTTTATTTTGTATAAATCAAGTCTTGATTTGCTTTGTATTGCTTTTTTAATGAATATTAGATGTTATTGAATATTTTCATAATGATGAATAAATTAAATAATCTATTAAAAATATAAAATATCAAATGTAATGTGTACTGCATGTTTATATGAATATTAAATGTACTGTGTGTACTGCATATGTTTGTAAATATTAAATGTACTGTGTACTGCAGTAGCATATTTCTATGAATATCAAATTTGCTGTGTAATGAATATTCATATAAATATAAAATTTATTATGTACTGCATGTTTTTGTAAATTTCAACTGAACTGTGTACTGTATGTGTATGTAAATATAAAATGTACTGTGTACTGCAGCATATTTCTATGAATATTAAATAAACAGTGTACTGAATGTTCATATAAATATAAAATTTATTATGTACTGCATGTTTTTGTAAATTTTAACTGAACTGTGTACTGTATGTGTATGTTTCGCGCCGGTCGGCGACTTATAATAAGTTAACATGAAGGACTGAAATGGTTTCTCTCAGAACGAAAGGTACAGAACGGTAGAAGGAAAAGTTTATTCATCTTCAGGTGTTTATACCACTAGAAATACATCATAATTAGAAAAATACAAATAATGTTTAACTATTTACATTTAAAAATTATAAGAAATTAGTATTAATTACATACCAATGACACTCTGGGGTGTAACTAGATCCTTCAAGTATTCAGTCAACACTGACTGGTTTATGGATAAGTTTGTATATAGTGCAGTACGGTCAATGTTTGTAAACAAAACCGGACCAAAATAAACAAAAAATCAAGGAAATAGGGACGTTCAATTTTCTTATGTTAATTCATTAAACCACAAAAGATCGCGATATAAAACTCGCGAAACAGTGTATGTAAATATAAAATGTACTGTGTACTGCAGCATATTTCTATGAATATTAAATATACAGTGTACTGAATGTTCATATAAATATAAAATTTATTATGTACTGCATGTTTTTGTAAATTTCAACTGACCTGTGTACTGTATGTGTATGTAAATATAAAATGTACTGTGTACTGCAGCATATTTCTATGAATATTAAATGAACAGTGTACTGAATGTTTCTTTAAATATCAAATTTACAGTTTATTGTACTCTTTGTGTATATTAAATGTACTATGTAGTGCTGTATCTTTCTATAAATATTAAATGTACTGTATACTGTACTTCTTATGCATATCAAATGTACTATGTAATGTATGTTTCTATTAATTTTAAATGTAGAGTGTACTGTTCTTTTATAAATTAAATGTACTATGTGCTATTATTCTAAATGTGTATTGTACATATACTCAAGAAGATTTATTGAAATATGATTATATGTTGAATGAAGTGGATTAAATCTATTTATTTTTTACCCATGGGACGGATATTTGAGACAGGTTTAATGATGCGAAATGGAAAAAGTCCTGTTTTTCGGATAGATTTTGGGAAAGATTGATTATAGGATAGTTCAAAGAATGTAGAAACTAAGAACGTTAATGTTTACTCAAAGGCTAGTTTTAAGAACTGTACAATACAAATACAATATACACAATATATACAGTTTATAGAACTGTACAATACCAATACAATGTACACAATATATACGGTTTATAGAACTGTACAATACAAATACAATATACACATTATATACGGTTTATAGAACTGTACAATACAAATACAATATACACAATATATACGGTTTATAGAAATATACAATTCAAATACAATGTACACAATATATACTGTTTATAGAACTGTACAATACAAATACAATGTACACAATATATACTGTTTATAGAACTGTACAATACCAATACAATTTACACAATATATACGGTTTATAGAACTGTACAATACCAATACAATATACACAATATATACGGTTTATAGAACTGTACAATACCAATACAATATACACAATATATACGGTTTACCAATTTTTTTTTAATGTAAATAATATTTTTTAATAACTTTGTTTTATTTTGCAGGTATGTTTTTTTGTTTTTACCGACCTATGATTCCCTCAACAGAGGGATGTTAAATTACTTAATGTCCCTTAATTAAGTAAAATAACCACCCGCATATTGCGCATTTTTATCTCAAAAGACGATAAAATTGTGTTCAACTCCTTCTTTGGTAAATTTTAATTTTTAATTAGCCGCGGGTTCCCTCGATCATTTTTGCCTTTTTTAACTTATTATTTTATCAAAAAGAATTCATAGTTTGAAATAAATAAGGTCAACGACATTGGGTTGCAAATTGCAGGGATTAGAAAATCAGTATTAATTGCAAAGACACAAATTCTAAAGCTCATGATGGTCATGATGCTAGTAATGCTCATGATCCTCATAAACTTCCGTTATAAACTCCAATGCTCAAGTTTATCATGATCTTTCTATCCAAAGGGATTACTTGCCTTATTATAAAACTTTCTAATCCTTTTATCTTTGCAATCATATTGACATTTCAAACAACATTATTGCTCGGTACCAGTACAAACGTCGGACGGTACAAAAATAAGACTTACAAACGTCAGACAGTACAAACGTCGGACCAGTACAAACGTCGGACCAGTACAAACGTCAGACTGGTACAAACTTCGGACCAGTACAAACGTAGCACGGGTACATTTATAAGGAAAAACGTCGGACTAAGGAGGAAAAAAATATATTTGAATTTTCAGATTAAAATTCTTGTAAATTCGCAATTTTCTCTCAAAAAATTTCCATTTTTTTTGTTAAAAATTCATAATCTCACAAAGTCTGGAGACATGGACGAGGAGACTGCTAACTATATTGAGGTCAAGAAGGGGGGACGGCACCTGCTTGATTCAAATCAGTTTGAATTTAGGGTTACAAAGAAGATACCCAACAAAACCTATTACCAATGCATTCAAAGGAAAAACAATTCTTGTCCTGCAGGAGCAGTTGTAAACAATGAGAATGACAAGATTATCAGTTTCCTGGGAGAGCATACACATGACAGTGATCTTTTGAAGAAAAGAGTACGTGAAATAGAAAAACAAGTAGTACAAAAGAAAGCTCTGGAATTAATAGTTTGTAGAATTTATAGTTTGACATTTTTTAAAACAATGGTCCATTAAAAATTTACCAAGTCCGACGTTTTTTCTTATAAATGTACCCGTCCAAAGTTTGTACTGGTCCGACGTTTGTACTAGTCCGACGTTTTACTGGTCCGACGTTTGTGCGTCCGACGTTTGTACTGTCCGACGTTTGTGGCGTCCGACGTATGTGCGTCCGAAGTTTGTACTGGTACCTAATTGCTCTTATACAGTTTAACAAAGAACTTCGTGGTAACTTCGAAAGAACTTTACTTAAACTGTTTCCGCATGTTTTATGACTTTTTATTTATTTATACAATTATTAAGATTTAGGTTTAATAGTATAAAACCTTTTGGAAAATGGTCAATATACGACATTTTTAAAAATTCTGTCGATATCTCCCAAGTTCTGGATTTAAACTGTTGATAAAATAATCAAATTAAGAGTTTTCAGTATCAGACTGCAAATTTATAGGGTTTATTCGAGTTTTGATTCAGATCCTTCACATATTAAAGCCTAGAATATTCTTCTTTCTCAGATAATGGAGATAGAATAAAGCCTTTCAACAGCTTAATATCTGCAGGAAGGATTTTATACTTATTCTGATGACACAGCTATAAAAGATTTCTCTGCTAACAGTTAGAGGAAATTTTAAACCGAAAATGGAAGTATGCGATCTATAAAGAAACAGAGCTTAAAACTTTAGAATGAGATATCCTCAATTCCGATTACTTAATCTGAGTATCCAATGGATACACTTTTGATTTTCATCTTAAACTACTGTTTCTTGGATATAGAGGAGAAAAATCAAAAACCGGTTTTTTAAATTAGAGTCCCTTCCGTTTCTGTATATGAATCTGAAATGGCGCGCAAAATTCCAAATTTCAAGGCTTCTTAAACGCGACTCTGATTGGTTGAATTTTATACACTTGTCAGGATACAAGTACAAGATTAAGTTAGTCTTGATATTAAGCATTAATCTCGATATCCACCATTCTAAAGTTTTCAGCTCTGATTACTCACCTGAAATCTAGGTTTTAATGAAATTGGAACCAAACAGACAAACGGACAGACAGACAAGCAAAGTATATTCTTATAGATTGTTGCTTATGTTTGATAATAGATGTTGATACTTTGTGTACTTTATGTCTTTGGCAGACAACAAAAACCTTTATAACTTTATTATTAAAAACTTATTCCGAAATTGTCATAATACTCTCAAACTATCTCAAACATCTCTCCCATGATGAAATTTGGAACCTGGAGAAAAATGTAAAAGTAAATTAAACAATTTAAGTTCGTGAAAAATGTTTTAACATGGTTTATTTATTGCTAAATGTTTTTTGTTTTAAGTACTTTGTTGGCTCAAATATAAATTTCCTAACAAGATTTTATCTTTCTTTTGCAGTGATCAAAAAATCTCTTAGTTAATTCATGTACTTTCAATTTCATTGGCATTCTTAGTTTTCTAATTTTTAGAATTTTCCGAGTCTTAATTCATTTCGTTTTTATATGGTTTTAAAGGGATTGAGTCTTTGCCGCAAACTCAAGTTTTCTTATCACAATATCTTTGCCCCTTGATGATGTAAACCTTTGATATTTCAAACTTAGATTATTTAATCTAACAGAAGTCATATTTTGAAATTTAAAAGGTCTACGACATTGGGTTGAAAATATATATTTATGAGAAAACCAGAGTATGTAGCAAAGACTCACTTCCTCACACAAGAGGTGGTTCAACCTTTTCACTTAAGAAGTGGCTGAACTACGTTTGCGCGGCTCAGCTACTTCTCACTATTAATAAAATCTGGATCCTGGGACCGATTTTAATGAAATCTTGAATCACCGATGTAAAGTTAAAGATTCATGAGGATTTGAATCGGTTATTCATAATTTGAATTGGTAGTATTTGTAGTTCAGCGCCCTCTCCAATTTATAAGATCTGGTTTCCTGGTTTACTGGATTTGTTTTTAATCTTTTAGCTGCACAATCTCCTGTTGTTTTTAATTTCTAAAATATTGGTTTAGTTTGGTATAAAGGTTTTCTTTAAACAAAGTAAAAGTAACGAGGCTAAAAACGATAAGAAATATAATTCTTTTCAGAACATTTGTAATTTGAACAATGGCAAAAATTGGGGATATCGAAGGTTCAAATAATCAATAAAATAATCTATCCCATTAGTGACGAGACCATAAACTATTAGTGAAGTTGTTTTAGAAGGATCTTGTCAAAACAAAACTTGATTGTACTCATGAAAAAACGGTGTTTAATTAAATGTTTGATTTTTTTTGTACAGGGTGACCTGTAAAACATGAATATCTAAAAAACTTTGGTAATTCATAATTATTTAATTATCTTCAAAACTTTACTTTTCATGTTTTAGGTATTTAGATCTTTAAAAGAAGATTCCAAAAATATCTTTAAATTTTTTCTAGCAAAAATATTGACAATTTTATAGACTCAAAACTAAATTCTTTTAGTTTTTTTCCGAATTCAAAATCTATTTTTTTTTGGGTTTTTTAAATTGAAAATTTAATAGAAACCCCACTTTTGAAGTTACGTCAAATATAAAATATGTTTTGAAAACAGGGAATCCTAAGGAAAGCGCAGGAAAAGACAGGACAACATTTAGTTTAAGAAAAAAGGCACTTAAAAAAACCTCACCCGGTCAAAATTGACCTTCTCGTCACTAATGGGTTAATTGCTAGACTTC